GCACAAAGGCTCAAGGGGTTTGGTTCCCATATCTTCAGAAGTTGGTGCTGGTACCTATGAATTTGAAACACTTATTCAGACTTGGGCATGGTTAATACTAAAATCTTTGTTATCAAGTTCCTAATGAATGATGTTAGTATCTATGTATTTCTAGCCTTACTACTGAACCATAAATTCTATTAATTCTAGGATTCCAATTCTGTACTTTATTATGAAGCAAGGTATCATTATGAGTGTGTGACATTCTACACAGATTTTCATATTCTGTAACCGCAAACACAAATTTTACTTTGTGAAGACAGATCAGCAAATGGAATAAATCTGCATACTGTGAACAATTTATATATATAATAATTCATATGTTTGAGTAAGGAAAGAACTATCTAATTTGTAATATTTTGCAAAATGTTGAGGGGAGAGGCACTGGAGAAAAGTGTCAGGGAAAAGGAGCAAATCTGTAAAAACAGGATTGTGCAAAGCAGGAGCTCTAAAGTGGGTCTGGCAGTTGTGCTAAAGTAATAAAATCTGACTTTTTTGGGTGTGTGTGTGTGTACAAATCTAAGTTTCTCAGCTGCTGGGTCCAGCATTAAGATTGTAAGAAAAAGAGATTCAATTTATACCCCAACTATCCGAAGGAGTCTCAGGCTGATTTCGCACTAGAGCTGCCTCGCTGTTGCGCTGCCGTTTGCCCGGTTCTATTGGTCAATTTCACATCCGAAGCTGCGCAGCTGATTTTGACCTGCGGCTTCGCCCGATTTCCCCTGCAGTTTCATTATCCTGTTTTTTGAGGATCAACGAAACTGCGGAGAAAATCAGGCAAAGCTGCGGGTCAAAATCAGCCACGCGGCTTTGGGTGTGAAATTGACCAATAGAACCGGTAGCTTACAACCTTCTTTCCCTTCCCCTCCCCACAACAAAGGATCATTATTTGATGGATCAGTTAAACTTGTCGCACAGTCGAATCCGAGTCTTTCTGACCCCATGGACCACATGGGGTCCCCACAACAAACACCCTGTGAAGTAGGTGGGGCTGAGAGAGCTCTTTCAAGAACTGCTCATGAGAGAACAGTTCTGAAAAAACTTATGACTGACCCAAGGTCACACCAGCAGCTTCATGTGGAGGAGTGGGGAATCAAACCTGGTTCTCCCAGATTAGAGTCCACACTCCTAACCACTACACCAAACTGGCTGCCTTGCTGGAGCAGACGACTAGATTATTTAGTCCAGCATCCTGGCTTATAAAGTAGCCACGCAGTTATTCTTGAGGGCCAACAGAGCATAGAGCTGAAGGCCATTCTACAATGTTGCCTTCTAGCAATAGTATTCAGAGGTTTGGTGCTTTTGAATGTGGAGGTTCCCTTTAGTCACCATGGCTAGTAGCCACTGATAGACCTTATCCTCTATAAATGTGTTCAAGTCCCTTTTGGGAGAGGCAGAAAAAGTTCTGTCTGCTCTCTCTGCTCCATGCATAGCTTTATAAACCGCTAACACGCCTCCTCCCATTGTCTTTTTTCCTAAACTGGAAAGTACCAGATTCTTCCTTCATAGAAAGGTGCTAAAACCCCCTGATCATCTTGGTTGCCCGCTTCTGTATTTTTTCCATCTCTTCAATGTCCTTTTTGAGATATGAAGACCAAAACTGTACCTAACATAGATCTATACAGGGGCATTATAATACTGACAGTTTTATTTTCAATCCCTTTCCTAATAATCCTCAGCATGGAGTTTGGCTTTAAAACTAAACAGCATACAGATTTCCAGAATCATTGACCAGTGGACTCTGCTAAAGGAAGGTTAGCCATGAGACCTGTCACTTCAACACCTTTATCATCAAATCATGCAACTCCAGGTTCCAGGTGTTTCACTGAAAAAACAATATAAACTAAATCCACATTGCCACTGTACACTATGTTAAGCTAATACTAAATAAAAATTGCATTTATGGTCCTGTTTCCCTTTTTAATTTCTCACTGCAACATTAGAAGAGGCACTGTTGTGCTAGTGCCAAGAGAAGCAAGAATTCATAAACACATGGGAAACACAGAATGATGATTTTTCTCAAGGTTGATCTTGAAACCTAAGTTTGATACCCATACATTTCTGCATCTCTCCAAACATATGCAATGTTCTCAAATTACATAGACTAACAGTTTAAGAAGTAGCAGTTGTTTTAGGGGAAATTATACTGAAGAAAGTAGTGGAAGGGATTGGTCAGAATATTATGAAAGGCCTTAATTTCCTCAACATTGGCACAACACATAACCCAGCTAACCTTACTATAGCAATTCCTTATGAACACATTATACTAGGTAATAACATCCAGAAGTAAAGGAACAGCAACAATCTCAACTCAGTTCCAAACTGTAGTTAAAAACCATTTGAAGCCCCTTTTTTGGCACACAGAGGAAGGTGCCTGGCACACTCCAACTTCTCATGCACCCATGGAATTAGGATGTATTTATTTTTAAAATATAACAAATTGTGAAAATAGCTCTTCCTAAAAGAACCATGATTCTTTTGCCTTCAAGAGGACAGAACTTTGCATGGATTTGAAAATATGAGAAGTTCGTAAAGGAGCTTCAAGACTTGAAATCAAAGTATTGCAGGAAACTGTAGTGATATCAGTGGTGGTCGCATCAAGGTAAAAAAGAAAGGAAATACGAAGAACCTTTCCCACTATTCCTTAATTGTTGCTTAAAAATTGTACAAAACAGATCTCTGACCATCAGCAGACCATATTTCCAAATTATAATCAAAAGAGCCATAAAAGTGTCCCAACTAACTCTGTTAGAGTACTGTTACATTAGTAAAACAATAAAATTTGAGAGCACACAATGTTCTTCAATATCTCTGTTCCTAACCAGACTGTATGGATTAAAGCATTTATTCCATCATCTGTTCCCATGTCCATAGTGGGGATAATATGGAATAAATATTCTGCTTTCCCAATGGCAACCAACAGATGTTTCTCTCAGACATACTCAATACATGGGATACCTTCTGACACAAATTGCTACCACCACTCTCCCACTTCTCCATGTTTTTGCATTGACTGATTCCCCCCGCCCCCAGGGTGGACTTAGACCTAATACCTGTTTGGATGAAGGCCAATGTCACACGTCTGATAGACATTGCCTCCAAAACGGACATCCTGTCGAAGGCAGCTCTTGAACAGAAGACAGATCATACAATCCCGTGCATTTTTATCTCCAGCTAAAACACATGGCTTTGCAGCAACAACTCATAATCCTTACTGCTCCTAAAACTAAATTTGAAGGTTTACTGGATGACTCAACTGGGAAGGAGGGATTAATTACCAAGACATATGACATACTTCTACCACTAGACAAACCCAAATTGTTGAATTACCAAAAATTATGGCACCAAGACTGCAAATCGGATTTTACAGACGAGCAATGGACCAATATATGATCTGCCACTCTCACTAACACATCAGCTACAACAACCAAACTACAAAACTTTAAGATCCTGACAAGATGGTACCTTACCCACCACAAATTAGCACTAATCATGTCTTCTTATTCACCATTGTGCTGGAAAGGTTGTAGGGAGGTGGGTTCCTATGCCCACTGCTGGTGGAATGTGGTATCATAAAGGATTTCTGGAGAGAAATAGCAGCTCAGATACACCTAATATCAGGGCTGGAAATTATTTTTCTGAATATATGGTGTGACACAACAGTCCCTTCAATTAGGCGGAACCTCATCAGAAGTTTGCTGACTACGACCAAGACGGTGATAGCGTCAAGATGGAAATCTTATCTGCCCCCCTCAAGAGCACTCTGGCTCCAAAAAGTATGGGAACATTTCCTGATGGAGACAATAACAAACAACCTCTACCAATCGGAAGTATACCAAAAATCAACTAACTTTATAGAAACATGGTACCCTTTTTATGAGTACACCACTGCAAATGACATTTTGCCTCAAAATAGATACTATAAAAATCTGGTAATGATCTAATCATCTTCCCTATTTTTAGATCCTATTCATTTCTACATGTTACATTGTTGATGCAGAGCTGATTGCTGAGTTATTCTATTTGCACTTACACACCAGCTTACAAATTCAAAGTACTGTATACTTACCTGGTATGTTGGATAGTCTAGTTCCACTATTTCTATATGTATGAACCAAGTTTATTTTGTGAAAACCATTTATTTCTTTGTACTATTGCACACTGAAAACATTTTTTCTAAAAAAATCCCTGTTCCTCTTGCATCCTATATCTAGCCCAAAATAGGTTGTGTTTTACCTCTCCAACATATTTATGTGGAGAACAGGTAGTTAATGAAAAAGAATGAGACGTTTTTATCAAACTGCTGGGTTTTAACTCTTAAATAGGAATGTGCTGCTGGTGCAGAATTAACCAGCTAAAATAACTGTTCTGTTGTACACTAGTGAATTACCCATATGTTTGCTTTTCATAAAAGTGATACAAATGTACCTGTGCATAAAGTGAGCTTCTATAAATCATATGTCAAAATTAATCAAATAAATAGCAGTGTACCTGACATTTTGGTTGATTCTTTCAAAAAGTTTCTCATCCCTTTTGAAGGGTGATGAAGCCACTTCAATTTATGTCAGCCACAAAGACAATAAGACAACAGTGAAATGACAACATGTAACTATTATTCTGTATAAAATGTGAGGAATTGCACACCAAACTCAAACCATCAGTTGAAGGCAATATTGCGCTATAGTTTTAAAAAAGATCAAGTGCCAAGTTCAAACTAGCCTTGATGGATTGATCCAACCCTGAAATTCTGCCCTGCCAACCACCACAAATTCACAGTAATCTGTGCGTTGTGTTTCCGCACTGAAAAGGCATCAGGTATGATCATCAATCACAACAGTCATGACATTCAGCAAACCACCCAAAATGTAGGACTGTAAAATTGCCATGTATGTGTTATTCCACTCAAGGAAAAAAATAAGCTTTTTTTCTTGAGAACCATTTTATTTTAAGACATTTGCAGGTCTAATATGCCATAATAAGTCTCATTATGAATCAACAATAAAGTGCTGAATTATGTTACCTGAATCTTAATCTCATTTGTAGTCTTCACTTATGGTTTCCTTATCAAGTCTAAAAAGCCCTTTCTGCTGCAATAGCTAAGCTGTTGTGCAAGTATTATAAAAATAGATAGCTTTCAGTGGTGTACGTAGCCTCAACATGGCCTCTGATGTTTCCATTAATATGGCTGAAAGGTATTAGAGAATAAAATGCATGCAAATTATCCATAAGAGTTATTTTAAAACGAAGAGTTGGGGATACTACTTCTGAACTTCCAAAGCCCCTGCAGAAGCCTACTGATTACAACCATATAGTTATATTAGTAGATGGCTAGGTCTGGACTGACAAGCATCATGCCAACATGCTTTAGTTTCATTTTGTAGCTAAGAAATGTAGAGTTGTAATTTCAAACTATGTTTGATCTAGTTCTCACTGAACAGTATGATTAAGTTTCAGGTTAAATTTGAAGAAACTCTCTATGCCCGGTCACATAATCAGCTCAAGCAAGACATTAGTGCAGAGTCAAAGATGGCAATTCATTAACCTCTTCCCTTACTGCAAGACACAGTAAAATGACTTTCAGACTTAATTTAAAATGGGTTTGCCAACAAAAACACATTTTACTCCCAAATTCAACACACAGCTATATATATAAAAAAATAGAAAGCAACTATAGAAACAGCTTGGGGCAAAAAGTGAGAATTTGGACAGCTGACTGGTATCTTCAAAAATTGTCATGCTGTAAAGAGTATATTTTCAAAGCTCTAAGAAAACTGCAAGAAACAGGTCAGAGCTGAAAATGGCCAACCGCTGCATAGAAATATGCCAACACACAACAGTCATGTTCAAGCCAGTGCATAGAGAGGATAAAAGCACTTATGGTAATTGCAAATGTTAACAAGTTCATACAACTTATAGTTCAGCAATGAACTCATTAGAAAGAGAAGAATAGAAACGCTCAAGCCAGAACAAAAAAAGATGACTTTCCAACTATATAAGATCCACACCGGTAAGAGAAAGACAACACCACAAAAATTATTCAACTCGGGCCCAAACAACCAACAGGCAAACTAAACCAGAATAGACAAGCCGTTGGCAGACAATTTTAGTGAGTTCAAATATAGCATTACATTTCTAAATAATCCACAAATTATATTATAAGGTATGTTTAAATACTGAGTAACCAGTTCTGCAAATTTGATTTCAGTAATGCCTTAGCCAATGAGCAGAATGGACCAAGCTAAATGAATGATCGTGAATCGCTGGCATATCACAACAGTGCTTGAGAAAGCAACAATTAGTGTCACTAACTCAAGTTCCCACAGTACCAAAGGCCTATATCAGACTATCATCTATGGAGCAAAACAAAGTTCTCAAGCTTTTCTGGGATGTGCCCTTGGTAACCTATGCAATGATTCACAATGACACGGGCAGCAAGACACTGCAGTGTAGTATGGTTGATAGGTTGGATCAAGTTCTTTGCCATTTCCTTCTCATCCAGCAAGTCAATAGCAGTTTGTTTATGCAAGTTTGTGGCATCAAAATGTGAACCTGACTTGATAAGAAGATTCATGATATCAGGGTGGTTATTCAGTGCAGATATGTGTAAAGGACTGTTGTCATCAGAGTCTCTAGCATTTACATCAGCACCACATTCCACTAGTATAGCAGTAACTTGCAAAGAGGGAAATTTACAAACTGGGTAGCGTCCCACACATGTGGTATTCTTGTCAACAGAAAGGTGAAGCGGGCTAAAGTTATTCTTTCCTCTAGGATGTAGCTTAAGAAATTTGTATATAGTCTGTTTCTTAAAATGATCCTGTTCAGGATTACAGGGAACTTTTTCCAGCAAGCAAATTAGATGCAAAATGATGGAAAGGGCTTTGTTGAGCTGTATTTGGTCAGGCGGACATTGAGTTTGTTTGATGGCACGCTCTATTTCGAGGACACTTTTGCACAGTATACCCATAAGATCATCAAATGTAACAGTTGTGCCAAGCAGGCCTTTTGCCCTGTCCTGTAACATGAAAGAGAAAAGTTCAGCAAATGAGAGAAGACTGCTAGCAGTCATAGGACTCAGTGGGTCCAAATTGCTCTGCTGCATATCTAAAGCATACTTCCACAAGTTGATGCATCGTTTGAAGTTTCCAGAATCTGCATAGACAGCACCTCTGTACCGAATATAGTAGGATGTATCTGGGTGAGAAGGCCCCAGAATACGTTCTCTAATTAACAGCGCTTGCATTCTCATCTCATCAGGGTCTGCAATGAGGTTTTCCAGCTCTTCAGCACTATTTACCTCCTTGGCATAATCATAGGCCATTATTAATGTTTGAGGTACAGGTTTGCTTAGGATATTAGTCCTATCACTGTACCTCATATCCATAGCTCTTTTCCAGTATTTCAAAGCACCAAGCAAATCTCTCTTTTTGTCCACAAATGTGGCTCCTAGAAGTTCCAGTGCATTGATACGTTCCACTTTACTTGTCTCAACATGCTGGGTCAAAAAGTCAACTATGTTTGTGTGGCCTGTAACGCTAGCCGAGAGAAGTGGAGTCATTCCATAGCCATCTTTTTCCATCTTTGCACAATACTTGAGAAGCATCTTCATGATTTCCAAGCTACCAGATTCTGCACAGTCATGCAAAGCTGTGTTTCCTGTGGGGAAAAAGAAAGCAATGATCATGTATGCTATGATGCACTTTCAAAGAAAGGCCACACCAATTGAAAGAGAAAAGCTTGCAGCCTTGCACACATCAAATTAATCTGCAAGTAAGTTAGGTTGAGAACGTTGAACATCATAAATAGCTGTGAGAGTTGATGTTTGACAAAAGTGGTATTTTAATCTATATCGCATGAACACACAAATCAGAACCTTGGTCCATCAAAGTTAGTAGTGTCTTCTCAGACTGCTCCAGGATCTCAGGTAGAGGTGTTTCACATCACCCACTGTGAGTTACTTTAACAAAAGATGCAACGGATTGAATTTGGGACCTTCTGCATACCAACCAGATGCTCTACCACTGAGCCACAGCCCCACTCCCACACATCATTAACACATCAATAGGGTAACATTCCTCATTAGTCACTTATATAACTTTTCATAGTTGCATTTGAAAAAAATAATAACCATGAATAGTCTTGGGTTCCCCACCCCTCATTTGCCAACCCAAAGATACACCAACCTTTCACTAGGACCTTCTACTGTAGCTGTTCTACTGGAGCACTTATTGTAAAAGTCTGTTGATACACATTTTTAACTGGACATTTAGCTGCATTCCAAATCATTTACAGTACCTGAGCAAATAAGCTTGGGAAGAAGATATGGGAAAGCCCTTTCTACTAGCATAATCAGATTACCTATTCCATAGGCAATATTTGAGCTGCAATCACATGAAACAATGATAATAGTGTTAGATAACTACTTTCTGCAAGTGTCATTCACATGCCATGCTTTACCTCTATACTGTTCACACACTTTGAGAAAGACATATATTATTTCCCCCCCAAGAGTTAAGCAGACGGGCATATTTTTTATGGTACAGAGGTTGCTGGTTTTATTGCAGCAAACAGTGGTGTACAATTTAAGAAAGTGTTTTTACTTTTCTATTCTGTTTAAGCATACCATTCTTCTATCAACCAACAATCAGATTCCTCCAAGAGAAATACATTCACTAACAGAGTTCTCTTTTCAACAGTGCAAACAGCCACCCTCTCCATCACAGAGAACCACGCTAGAATGTAGAACCATCCACCATTATTTTAGCATGTTTCCCATAAAGAAACATAGCAAGGTGGAAAGTTATAGTAGACACAAAGCTCCATGTAGGTTTCTAGTCAGCACATACAAAGACCAAAGGAAATTATAAAATAATCATCATACAACCTAGAGTAGGCACCTTTCTCTGCTGTGTCAAAGAGGCAAGCCAAGACAATTTCTTGCAAGCAGAATCTCTGTTGGGGTGGGGGGTGGGGAGTCTACCACTTAACCTGAGAGACTAGGGCAATTCCATGGTAAGTACCCCATTTCTGGCATGTTCTCACAAATATGTCTGACAATAATAAGACAACTGAAATGGCAGACAGAGGTGTTCATATAATAAAAGTAAACACTGCTTTTGATACACTTCAAGTTGCATAACTGAAAGTATATATGCCTATGTAGGTAGGTGTATGTCAAGGAGTTCAAGGCCTGAACCCTGTGGGTCCTCAGGGCAGTTGCATACAAGTAACCAGAACATTGTTTATTTTAAAAAAGAATTTAAAATGTATTTCAATTTCAATCAATAGAAAGATTTAATATGCAGCCAACACACTACTCTAAAATCATAAGAAACACTAACTCAACTGTCTAACACTCTCAGGGCTTGCATTAGACAGCACAAACCTTAAATTCCAAAATCAAAGCCCAAAGCACAGGTGTGGTCTACATTGCTGGCAACTGCAATACAAGACAGGTCCATTAAGATCGCAGCTAGTCTCTCTTCTTCAGGGCCTACACTAACTTATACTTTTTGGCTCAGTAGCATCAGGCGAGGATGACATCCAATCAAAACACATTCTTAGGGAAAGCCTCTAGAAAATTACCTCATCGCCCTTGACACACACACACACCCCATCCAACAGGCTGCGGGTTCTCATGAGACGCTAATCATGCCATTTCCATTCCTGGCCTTGAGGATGACAAGGCCAAGAGACCAATTCGTGACACCTGCAAGATGGACCAGGCCCATTACTATTCACATTAACCTCATTAACCCATTACTATTCACATTTGCCTCATAGTGTATCATCAGCATTCACTTGTAAGTATATCTGCTTATGCCGAGCTTGTCCATTGAAACTGCAAATTAGAGTGCTTTTTCAGAACAGGTAAATGTACAGGTATCCATTCAAGCAATAAATATTACTTAATCACCTGCTATCACTGCAATGCTGCAGAACGTTCATGAAAAATCCAACTAAGGAAACTTCCAATTAAAAAAATGTTTCCAAGCAGTGCTGTTTCTGGAAGAAAAAAAGAAGCCAGCCTGTCTCGAAAAATGTTCACATGGGGCTTGGATAAAGGAGGACCATTACAGGCAAGCAAGCAAACATTGCTGGGATAACACCCAAAGGGATAACCAAGCCAGGGTGCATTGAGGTAGGATACTTTAAAGAAAGGGTGAAGAAATCTGAAATTGATGGGGGCCAGGGATCTGAAAATTTTAAATACCACAGCATTTATTACCATTTAAAACATTTATTAGCCAACTTTTTCACTTGCAGCACTCAAGGTGCCTTATAATGTAAACAAAACAAGCATTAAAAACACATTAAAATATCCACAATTTAAAATCTCAATCAGGACTGCCAATAAATAAAAAATAAATTAGTCAAATGCAGTCCTAAATAAAAATGTATTCAACTGCCTCCTGAAGAACAAAAGCACACCTCCCTGGGAAGACTGTTCCATAGCCATGGGACTGCCACTGAAGAGGCCCTCTCTTGTGTGCCCCCCAGATGAGCTTCTTTGATCAGTGGGATAGTCAGGAGGGCCTCTCCCTATGTTCTTAATTCCCAGGCAGGAACATGTGGGAGAAAACAATCCTTCATACACCCTGGTCCCAAGCCATGAACGACACTAAAGGACAAAACCAACAGCTATCCCAGAGACACCCACTGGATTGTGGTGTGCCTCAAGGGGCGGTGCTGTCCCTGATGCTCTTCAACATCCATATGCGCCCCCTTGCCCAGATTGCCTGAAGGCATGGGCTGGGTTGTCACCAGTGTGTGGATGACACCCAGCTCTATCTGCTGTTGGGCGGCCAGTCTGACTTCAAACCAGAAGATCTGGACCGGGCGTTACAAGCCGTGGCTGGTTGGCTTAGACTGAGCCGACTGAAACGGAATTCTTGTGCCTGAGTTGGAGTGGGTCGGGGTTAGGGTTCCCACTCCCGACCTTTGATGGGGCACCCTTGGTGCCAGCACCAGAGGTTAGGAGCTTGGGAGTGCTCCATCAAGGCCCAGGTAGCAGCCACTGCCAAATCGGCATTTTACCATCTTCAGCTGATGAGGCAGCTGGTTCCCTTCCTCGAATGCAACAACCTGGCGACAGTGATCCATGCAATGGTCACCTCAAGATTGGACTACTGTAGTGCTCTCTACATGGGGCTGCCCTTGCGTCAATTCCGGAAGCTGCAGCTGGTGCAAAATGCCGCGGCCAGGCTTTTGATGGGGCTCTCTGGGCAGGAGCACATACAGCCTGTGCTGAAGGCATTGCACTGGCTGCCGATAGCATACCAGATTCGTTTCAAGGTGCTGGTTCTAACCTTTAAAGCCTTACATGGTCAGGGACCTACATACCTAAGGGACCGCCTTTCCCCACATGTTCCTCAGAGAGCACTATGGTCAGGGGCCCAGAATCGACTGGCCCTTCAGGGTCTTAAGGAGGCTAGGCTGTTGACGACCAGGGCCAGGGCCTTTTCGGTGGTGGCCCCATCCTGGTGGAATGAGCTCCCGGAGGAGATCAGGGCCCCGCGGGACCTTTTACAGTTCCTCAGGGCCTGTAAAACAGAGCTCTTCCACCAGGCTTTTGGGAGCCACCACCACCAGTGAAGAATATCAGTTGGCTGAAAGTGAGAGGGCCCTGGACTCTGGACTCCGGAAATAGCCATCAACAGCCTAAAGAACAGCAAGCCCTACAAGGACATTCCAAATGAACACTAAGAGCTGATTGTGAGATAAGAACTTTGTACGTTGTTTACTGGCTACTACCATTGTACGAATACCAACAACTAGTTCCCTTGCTCGAAAGCCAGTCGAATCCGACTCTAGGGTTGCGGTGCTCATCTCCGTTTCAAAGCCGAAGAGCCAGCGCTTTCCGAAGACGTTTCCGTGGTCATGTGGCCGGCATGACTAAACACCAAGGCGCACGGAACGCTGTTACCTTCCCACCGAAGTGGTCCCTATTTATCTACTTGCAATTTCTTGCTTTCGAACTGCTAGGTTGGCAGGAGTACCAACAACTACTAGCACTTTAATATGATTTTATAATTTGTTTTAATTGCAACTTACATTTTTAATGTAATTACCTGGTTTTATGTAAGCCGCCCTGAGCCGGCTTCGGCTGGGAGAGTGGGGTAAAAATCTGAATAAATTTTAAAAAGAAATTGAATTGGGCCTGGAAACCTATCAGTAGCCAGTGTAATTGCTGTAATATCAGGGTCACATGCTCCTGGTAGCTGGCCCCAACCATCAGTCTAGCTGTAGCGTTCTGTACTACCGGTAGCTGCAGCTTCCAAATATTCTTCAAGGGCAGCCCTAAGTACAGTGCATTGCAACAGTCCAGTCTCGATATAACTAAGGCATGGATCACTGTGGCTAGATCTGACTGAACCAGGAATGGGCGCAGCTGACACACCAGCCAAAGCTGAGCAAAAGCACTCCAAACGACTGCAGCCACCTACTTTTCTAAGGTGACTGCTGTGTCAAACAGCACTCCCAAGCTGCAAACCTGGCTTTTCAAGGCAAGTATAATCCCATCTCAGACAAGAGAAATCTCAAGTCCCCAGTCTGCCTTTCTACTACCCCAGAGAGCCTCTGTCTTGTCAAAATTTAGTGGTATCTGTCCCATTTACACTGACTTCACATACATGTGACTCATTATCATAACTTTA